GTGTTCAAGACCCAAGCAGTGCGCGATGAGGTGAAAGCTCCTGTCACTCACCCCAGCTCCTGCCCACCTAGCATTTCAAAAGCATGCAAATGCAAGTAGATAGATAGGTACCACTTCAGTGGGAAGGTAACTGCATTCCATGCACCTCGGTGTATAATCATGTTGGCCACATGACCAGGGAAATGTCTTTGGACAACACTGGAACCCTTGGCTAAGAAATGGAGATCAGCACTGACTCCTAGACTTGGACTGGACAGAGAAAACCGTTACTTTATTTTTAGTGATAGGCAGGTTCATTTCCTGCAGAGATTCTATAGAGATAATTATGTTGTGATTCCAATGGTGGTAGGCACTGAGCCCTCAAATCCCCAGTCCATGTTAGATTCACAGAAAATTCTCACTTCCTAAAGGCAAACTCCCATCCTTAATTGTTGATGCATTTTCTAGTGCACATGAAAAGTACTAGATCAGTATTTTTTTCAAACTTGGCAACTTTAAAATGTGTGAGCTTCAACTCCCAGAATTCCCCAGTCAGCATAAAGTCCACAAATCTTAAAGTTGCCAAGTTTGGAAAAACAATTCACTAGTTTATATTGTTTTTATGTGCGTAGATCAAAGAATCAGTTGGCTGGAGAGAGGAAAGATTTCTAAGTCAGATGCCAGAACTACTACAGTAAAACAATAAAACAGAGCTAAACGGATAACCCGACTTACATTTCAAAATTAACACAGGAAACTTGCATTAGGGGATTTTGTTAAAAGAAGCAAAACATTAAACTAGAGCTTTGAATCCACTTTGCAAATATTGGGATCAGGGTTAGGGAATACTTTGTTCTCTTTCTTCAAAAACTTTTCCTTGCTTCCTTCTTCTGCCACCTGCTGGAATTACACCTATCCTGCATTTCTTTTCTTTGAATAAATAAATTGAGCAGAAAAAAAAATCTATTGCTGAAAAAAAACACAGAGACACTTAGTCAACATTATGACTATTGGTTTGGTGTATGTTTTCCCCCTTCTCTTTTTCTGATACATGCATTATAATATTCAAACATAAAAAGAACACAAGTTGTAACCTTTAGTTCCATGACAAATGAATTGCTTGTTGCATTTTTCCTCAAACGATCCCCCTAGAACAGGAATGACTTGTGAACTTCAACTCCCAGAATTCCTAAGACAGACATGTTCACAAGTCATAAAGGGGCCCTTGTTCTCCACCTCTGCTCTAGAAGACAGTGCTCTCTCATTTTTGTTTGATCAATATCATACCACCATTACGCTACTAGAGGAGAGAGACTGATTAGGCAATACAGTATATGAAAGCCTCCATTGCTATAATATGGCGTTAAATAACCATTTACTTCAGCTCTGCCACTCTCACCAGAATAAAACTGTTGTGCAAATTACTGAATGTGTCTGCTTTCTTATAATACAAAACTAGGCAACCTAATGAGGTCTCTTCATTTTTTTGACCCATCCTCCCTGCGGAAACCCACATCTCCCATAATACTTAAAGGTTGACCATAATGTTTGGGTTTTAGGGAACTCAACTCAACTCAAGGATACCAGATCACCAGATAATGCCACAATAGACATTATCACCTTCATTGACTCTTAGAGTTGATGGTTAGCAGAATGACTTTTTTTTCTTGTAAAAAGAGCCTGACCAGTCTTTGGTTATATATTTTAGGAATGGGGGGGGATTCTGTATTCTCTGGCACATTTTAATTACACTCATAATATACTTGTAATCATTTTATTATATAGCATACCGTATCTTAATATTACTTTAATGCTTTTTAACGATTTGTACTTATATGTATCCGTTTTTTTCCTACTTTGCATTGTGAAGTCTCCCAAAATCATAGCCCATGAAGGACTGCCTATAAATGTTCTACACAAAATTAATACCAAAATTCTAAGAGGACTCAACCTTTTCTTGTTCTTAGTATGGATTAACCAGACTGTACGTGTTGTTAATATAAGATTGGTTTAGGAGACAACTGCTAATTCCTTGGCTACTATCTAGATCAGGGGTCTCCAACCTTGACAACTTTAAGACTTGTGGACTTCAACTCCCAGAATTCCTCAGCCAGCAAAGCTAGCTGAGGAACTCTGAGAGTTGAAGTCCACAAGTCTTAAAGTTGCCAAGGTTGGAGACCCCTAATCTAGATGATCTTCAGAACCAGACTGGAAGCAAGATCTGTTAAGATTTCAGTTTGCACTATTTGCTCACTGCATAGAGACACTTTTTTCTCATAGAGACACAGACCTTCCTCTAATGAGCTTTTCTCTTTACAGCCAGGTTGCATCCTGAAAGGCAACTGAACTTTTTTTTTTTTTAATTTGATTTATATGCCGCCCTTCTCCGGAGACTCAGGGCAGCTTACAATGCGTTAAGCAATAGCTTTCATACTTTTGTATATTTATACAAAGTCAGCTTATTGCCCCCACAAACTGGGTCCTCAATTTACCTACCTTAGAAAGGATGGAAGGCTGAGTCAACCTTGAGCCTGGGGAGATTCGAACTAGCAGTAATTGCAGGCAGCTGAATGATAATTCATTCAAAACTTTGAACTCTCCATCCAGGAAGCGAAGAAAGGAGGTATAATTAAAATAATCAATTAATTACATTTCTTTTTGGTTAACAGGCACTTTAAGTGACAAAATACTGAGGGTGCAATTCCTTCTCTTCTCAACAGAAAGGTGATCAGAAAAATGTCTTGACCTGTTTGGGAAAACTAGTAAGACCAAGTCTCCTTAGTCAAGCTCAGCTGCTCATCATTCAGAGGCATATTCATTTCTCGCTTTCTTCAGAGACGTTTGTTTGACTTGCTGGGTCTAGCATGCTGCTCTGTTATTTCCTGATGATGTTCAATTCAAATACTGAACAGGTCCAAACTTACATTGCACAACAGTTTTCAAAGTCAGTCAGTCAGCTAGTGTTTTCAGAGAGGCTCCAGTTTATAAATTCCGCGTAGCCTATGTATACTGATGCCTTTACCATTGGTCTATTGCAAAAGGGTATAGCAATTACTATATATTTTACCTGAAAAAATAGTTCCTGCAATAATATCCCAACACATTAATTCATTCCCACTTTCTGCTTGCTTCTGCAATACTCCCTGCAAACAAGTGTCCCACTAACTCCAGTGGGTCTACTTCAAATTGTTGCAATTGTTTTAATATGCAGCCAACTTCTGCCATTTTCTGCTCCGTTGCTAAAACAGAGGACTCTCAACTTCCCCATAACAGCTTTTAACTATTTGAGAATCACTTCTATGGCAAGGGGGTGGGGGGAAATGAGTTAAATATAAAGTCTGACAAAAGGCAAAAGAGGAGAACTGGGGTTATTAAGTTTGAAATTTAATTTTGCAGCTTGTTTGGTCTGTATGAGTGAGTGTTGCTAAGAAATAGAAGGCTTTTGGAGTTAGAAGATAACAACCTGAGGTTTGGAGGGCATAGATATTTGTGGTATAATAAAATTAAAATGGATTTTAAAAATCATTTTATTAGATGTGCCATATTGAGAATATGGATTAGTTATAACTCAGCCTGTGGAACTTTTGATTCAGTCATCTCGTATGCCAATCACCCCTTCCAGCTTTGTGACATTTGTTAAGTTTGATTAAAATTTCCTTATACACCCTTATCCAATTTATTAAAATGTTAAACACATTGGAAATTCCCTTTAAGCTATTATTAATTAGAACTATTAAATGTGGTTGCTTAAGCAGCTGTTGGACCACTAAATTATAATTTTTAGCCCTCAGTGAACTATCTCAGGGGACCACCATAGGCCGTTTCAGACAATCACCTGGACCCTTGAGGATTCAGACTTGAGACAGATCCTCCTCCCTTCCATCTACAAGTGGGTCCCCCTGCAAAGGGTCCCCATGGTAAGATTGTGTTGCAGGATTATTTATAATTATGATTAATCTCAATCATTGAGGAAAGTCCTTGGTGGATAGTTTGTTCAGATAATTAGCATCTAAATAATCCAGGCTTCCATTATCTATATTAGAGAGTATATGAATTCAAAAATATTTTGCTTAGTACCCCCATTCTCCCCTCCCCCCCCAAGATATCCAGAACCTTTATCAGTTGCCTTGGCTTTGTATCTTTGACAAGAAATCTTTGCCCTTTTTCAACAAGACAGTCAAGAGTAGAAAGGGTAGGTATTGGGATTGGGGTGCAGTAACACCTATTACAATGTGTTTCTATGAAGCTTTGGTATTTTCTCCCCAATCCTTGCAGAACATGTTTATTGTAGAAAATAGTTCTTCTGAGTTGAGGGCTACTACTTAATCTCTCCAGGCCTCCTACTGGATTGTATAAATCATTCTGGTGACACTACAAGAGCAAGACCAACATTTGTTGAACCAGGCTTTCCTATTTTGGAAGGTTTAATGTTGACATTACCAGGATTTTGCATCCTGAAGACATGGTGCAGGGAAGGGGCTAAGATAGTAGATCCATAACCTGCTTACCTTCCTAACAAAAATTGCATTGCCCCCAAATCACTAAATTTTGTCAATGTGATTTAAGTGCTTTGGAGGTTATGTATAACCTCTAGAATGCCCAATCAGATTTCATTGGTTTTGGCTCCATATCACATGAATATCCTTGTTTTGAAAGGACAACCACGCAAATTGGTGAATAAATTCAATAAATAGATCTTGTAATTTCACCTCTTATACCAGATTCTAGAGAACTATGCTGTATGTGGGCTTTGTGGAAACTGATCCAAGAAACAATGATGGATTATGTAGTTTTGATATCTTGCAGCACACTTGCTATAGCCTTGATCTGCCTTAGGTAACTGATGCTGTTATTACTACTTTGATGTGTAAATTCCCCAACTGCTAGGCAACCAATAGTCAAATAGTTATCTACAAAGAAGTGAATACAGAAGCTTTGTCTCAGGACATGCTTAAAATAAGTGCCTACCAGTCCAAAGTGCTTACCATTATTTAAATATGCAATATTCAAAAGACAGTAAATCAAGAGGAAATTATTAGAAATGTTTATTAAAACTAAAGGCACAAATCATGAACAAGGCTTGTTATTAAAAATAGGCACAGACAAAACGTGCACTTCCCTCAATGTTCAGGCACCTGGAAAATGCTGCAGGTTTTGCAACACATTTGGTCACTCAGTTGCCAAAGGATCTTGGGTGTCTGTCCTGGAAACTTACCAAAGAAGTTGCAATCCTTAAGAATTATAACAATATCTCAGCAACCTTTAGTCACCTCAACAAGATCCCCCAACTTTTACAGATAATGCTTTGAATCCACATCACGTACACCGGACACTCTTAGTTATCTTGCTGGGGTACAGGTACAGCACCTTCTCTTCTGCTGTGCTTTCAATTTTAATAAATGAACTTGCCCAACTGGACTTCTCATGCTCCTCACTAAAAGAAGTCTGCTGAAAGGAGTATCATGTGCACTCTAGGCTTATTTCTTTGATCCAATAGATTTTAAGGCTTTGTAGAACTATTTGCATTATGAGCTATAATAAGTGCTTCCCATTCGGATTAAGGTACCAGAGCTCTCTGGCTCCAATCCTCCCTGGTTCTTAGGTCGATAGCAGCAACATTATCTGGGGTGCATATGGTTCAGGATCAAGATAACTTGTTAGAAGAAAGGGGGCAAGGTGGATGGGTTTTCTTGTAATAGGCTTCTGGTGCAACAGGCATTCTTGTTCATACATGTACCTGATTCTCCAAAAATCATTTTAATCACAACAGCAGCAAATGATCTCAGATCTTTATTCTTAAGTGCTTGAAAATTCTTGCTAAACATCTGGAGGTCACCATTCCAATCCGTTACAAAATGTTCAATTTTGCTGTGCAAGGCCAACTTGCATAAATCATGCTCTTCTCATAGGTAGCCTGCAACATACTTCTCCATTCCATCCTTAACTCAAGTTGTGTGTTTTTTTTTTTTAAATAAATCTAGATTGCTTTTCTTAGACTGACGCTTTTGACCATTGGCCATTTTCTCAGCTATCAGTGGTGCTCATCAGTTTATTTAGGATCTTCCAATCCACTGCTTTAAATAGAGGGGCTGGAGTTCCTCAAATAGCATGAAGGTCGTCCTTCTTTCAAACAACATCCTGATATCTGAGCCAAGAGGGTTACCCACACTGAGGTAAGGTAAGAAGGCAGATGTGAGATGTGAAGAACGTGACTTGAAAAATTATGGAATAGCTTTCTGTTGCAGGTGATGCTAAAACTGAAGGATGAAAACATTAAACAGCATTTTAATGTAGAAGTGAAAATTGAGATTATCAGGGAAGATAGTGGCCATCTTATCTGTTGAACTTGAGAGGTCCATAGGAAGTTGTTATGGAATCGTGCATAATTTTGCCCCCAATCCCAAGCAGACAGCAGAACAGGGTTCAAATCCTGACTTGTTATTATGGAAATACTGTTCAGCTTATTGAACCATACAGTGTACTGCATTTTGCTGAAGCCTCTTCAGGGACTTTTGCAGGATAACGTTGTAGTAACAATTATGGGGTGTTTGTCATTCTACCACAGATAATTATGCTGTACTCCTTACATTCTAAATAACTATCAAAAAGGAAATACATTCAAGAATTATCTAAAATATAAATAATACAGCATAGTTAATTGCTTTGATATATCAAAAAACTGGGCCCTGGCATTATAGCATTATTTTTTCCCAACCAGTAAGAATGGAACATCAATTCAGGAAAGTATTGGAATACTCCAGTAGACAAATATCAACACGATCTTTAGAGAATCTGTTCCCTTGTTTTCTGGCTAGACTTTTTTCTTCTGAAGGGGGGAGGGGCTAATAACCTGCACTAGGTAAGCTAAAGAGAAAAAATATCTGGCATATTACAGTGACTTTTGTATGAGCGGCATCAGAAAGAGGTTGGCCAAAGCAGCACTTGTCTTCCCTTGTAAAAGCAAGATGTGCTCAGAATGAATATATCAAAAGATATAAATCTAACAATGAGTCCTTTGGAACAGATTGTCACTGTTTGCTGCAGAGGGAGATATCCACATTACAAAAAGATAAACATGTCAGAACAGTAAGATGACCTATGTACAGAAATGCCATCCAGATTTGTAACCCTGGTGCTCTGTAGATAAACTGAATTAAAACTGCCATTAGCCCCAGCCAACTTGGCTAACATTTAATATTACATCCAGATAAGACTTACTTAGAGAGATCAGTAATGAATCTGAATATGATCAAATTGTTCTCCTGTTTGTATCTGAAACAAGAAATAAAGTGTACCTTGGTTACAGAGAACATGTTGTGCCAGCTATTATTCTGAAGTAGTGCAGTCTAAGAGGACACAGCATTAAGTTTCTTGAGAACAATCTAGTTGCAAATGTCCAAGTTGGAAAATGCAATGTTTGGAGAGAGTTAGCTGTTTCTCCTTATGCAGAGCCTAGCAACACAGGGATAAATTTTAACTTGATTCAGTTTTAGGAACCGGCAACCTGAGAAAGAGTTGAAAGGTGAGGAGAGAGGACGGGAATCACGGTGTGTATATGTTTATACAGCCACCTGCTGCCTGATGAATTTTGATTTGAGGAAGCATATTTATATGTGTTACCTGAAGAAGACCCACTTAAGAGATGCTTTTGTTCAGGCTTTGTCAAAAAAAAAAAAAACCCCTTCTCCAATAAAATTTGAATTATTTGGGACTAGGTGTCACAACGCTTTACATTAGTAGTTCTCTTATCTGTTAAGAACACTAATGAACAACCTCCATCCAAAGCCACACACCAAGTCATGGTTACCTTTCCATAAAGCAAAATACGCTTCTAACATGTAGGAGCACACTTTGGTGAGTTCCAGTAAATAATACTTAAAAGGACTAAGAAGGCACCTCAGGGACAGCACCAATTACTGCTTTGTGATGCACTAGGAACAACTCCTAGTCAAGCTGATGGCATCTTATCTGCTGCTAAAGCCCCATTCCTTCAACTAAAGCTACTTCTCAAAATGGATAAACCTGGAATAAAACTATTCCTTCCACAAACTCTTATCCTAGCACAGTGTGTGTGTCCCTCCCCCACCCTCCCTTTCAACATACCAACATATTTCCTACAGCAGTGTTTCTCAACCTCAGCAACTTTAAGATGCGTGGACTTCAATTTCCCAGCGCTGAATGGCTGAGGAATTCTGGGAGTTGAAGTCCGCACACCTTAAAATTACTGAAGTGGAGAAATACTACTCTACAAGATGAACCTGCTGTCCATCCTCTATGAATAAATAGCATTTCAGTTCACTTGTCTTGACCAGTCATACTCTCTCAACATATTGATGAGACATTGAATCTCTTTGCTATTCAAGGCTCTCTGACTACAACCTACTTGTTCCCAGGTTCTCTGCTGCCACTTGCTAGGTCAGCAATTCTAATTAGATCACTAAAGGGTCTCTTTCCACATACCTGGACATGTTGAGTTCATGCACCCATATTCCTCTGACACTATCCTTTATCTTCCAGGAACACTGGATGGAGCCACATAAATAATAAATAAATAATATGAATCCATGATTTCTGGACGCACTTTATGCTTAGCATGGGGATTGGGATAATAAGGAGAAAGAGTCAGTGTTTTTCCCTTCACTTCACAGGAAAGGGGCAAACAAAGGCATTGGTTGGTTGCTGTCTCACAATACTGTGTAGGGCTAACCTCCCTTACTATCATGGAGAATAGCCAGCAACCTTCCCTTTCCTCCTGCCAAAGCAAAACGTTCCAGTAACTTCATTTCCTACTATAAGCAGTGTCCCCTCTGCCTTGTTGGCTGTCTGCTCTAAACCTAAAGACAGCTGAGCAGACTGAGCACCTCACTATTACAAAAAAAATCACCATAATAAAAACCCATCACATCCCCAGATAGATATAGATGTATTCTACCAGGGAATGGACTTTCCACAAAATAATATCCATAGTGGGAGGTGAGGAACACCCAAAATAAATAAATAATCTGTACAGGACCCTCCTTAAAGCTTTATGGTGAGGCTTATGAGGAAAAAGAAAAAATATGTTTGCATCGGCATCCAGAAACAATTCACCCCACCATTCTTAGCGCCTCATATTTGAAAGCCAGTTTCTCCTTTTCAACCAGAACATTTTTTTTAAAAGAGCAAAAAATAAAAAATAAAAAATGCCCACCCACTTTTCTAACGTATCCAATTACCCATTACCTTTCACTAGTTTAAGCAGCATGTTTAACAAAAGGCTCCCATTGTATCGCCCACCCTATCCATCCAGTTGGTTTTCTTTCTTCTACTTGACCATTGTTTAACTACTGAGTTGCAAATCACTGGTTTATCATTTGCCAGCATTTCCGAATTTCCCAGACCTAGGTAAAGGTAAAAATGCCAGCCAACCAGGTAGAGATGGACTGCAAGAGGACAGATCAATGACTGCTCTGAGAAGTACCATTCTGGTCACCTTCTCCCACCGCTGCCTGGCAGAAAGGTGTCCCTCACAATAATGTGCTCAGTGCTTCTGCCACAAAACCCAAACAGTTTGCTGAAAAAGGAATGGAGGGGCCCCCTCTTCTACGGATAGCTTCTGACCATCGTGTTTTTCTAAGCCAAGGTTGAGAAATTGCTCACAACATAGAAAATTAAGCACCTGATAAAAAGGGGGCCTGCCCACAGCCAAGTATTATCTAAAGTGAAATTCAGGGAAAGGAGTGGTTCAACAAGAATAACTAGGCTGCTGCAACAGCATCTCTAAAGCTATCCCTATAGATTCCAAACATGGCACCAGAGGATCAAGGTGACCCTACTCACCTATTCCTAAGTACTATTACTACTCTGGGCCTGGGCACAGCAGGCTTGAGGTGATGCCTGCTGTCTCTCAATCAGGTCACAAAAACAAGCTTGCAACATTCACAGCAGCAATTAGCTTCACAGCCATCTCCCTCAATTATAGGGAGATGGCCAGCAAAAGGCAGCCCTTCCAGGAGCTGAGTGCTCTCACTGTCACTGATGCCAGACCACATTCTGCCATTTTCCTTTCCTGGCATCTGATTTACAGCACACTGGCCCTGAAGATGACAACTAGCCCTGGAATTATATTCAGATGTCAGCTGCAAAAAGATTCCCCTGTGATGGGGTAGAGTTGACCAGGTGGCGCTCCCCTTTCCCCAACCCGAGGATATTCAGAAATCCAAGGAGGTGAAATCTCCAAAGTCACAGTCAAAGAGCTCACTGATGCCTTCACCCTCCTCGAGTCCAAAATGATAGTCCTGAGTCTGGGGTGGTGAAAGTGCAATGAATTCAGAGGGCAGAAAACTTGAGAAGTCATCCTTGCCCTGCAAAAGCAAGGCATCCACGGAAGCCAGTGGTGAGAGGTTTACATCATCCCCGGGACACTTCAGAGGCAGCGTAGTCTCTCCAGATAACAAAGGTTCTGCCAAGAGATAAAGGAGAGACTAAGTAACCAGCATAATAGATATACCCGTGCCTTTAATCCCAAATGAGTATCCCAAATAAAGCCTTGTCTGTACACAAAAACAAAGTTGCTTAATCTTCCAATTACGGTGTATATATAATATACAATGTTTCTTCCGAAATTGAATAAACAGTTTTCATGGCTCAGCTGTAACTACAAAAATATCTGACTTGGTCTCTTCTCACAAATTAGGAATAAATTACATATAATTTGAAACAAAATGTAAAAAAAAACCTTTTCTTAGAAAAACTCGTAAGAGAGAGAAATTCACTTGGTACAGAAATGTACCAAGAAATGCATTGCCTTTCTTTCTCATTTGTAGTTTTTCCCCATCAAGCCTTTCTACATAGAGCCTTTGTAGAAGTATGTTAAATAAAAACACAGCTTTATCACCTTTCTCAGTGCTTCTCTACCCCACTAGATTGGTATTTGTTGTTGTTGTTAGTTGCGAAGTCGTGTCCGACCCATCGCGACTCCATGGACAACGTTCCTCCAGGCCTTCCTGTCCTCTACCATTTCTGGAGTCCATTTAAGCTCACACCTACTGCTTCAGTCACTCCATCCAGCCACCTCATTCTCTGTCATCCCGTTCTTCTTTTGCCCTCAATCTTTCCCAGCATTAGGCTCTTCTCCAGTGAGTCCTTCCTTCTCATTAGATGGCCAAAATATTTGAGTTTCATCTTCAGGATCTGGCCTTCTAAAGAGCAGTCAGGATTGATCTCCTCTAGGACTGACCAGTTTGATCGCCTTGCAATCCAAGGGACTCGCAGGAGTCTTCTCCAGCACCATAATTCAAAGGCCTCAATTCTTTGGCACTTAGCCTTTCTTATAGTCCAACTTTCACAGCCATACATTGCAACTGGGAAAACCATACTTGACTATACGCACTTTTGTTGGAAGGGTGATGTCTCTGCTTTTTAGTATGCTGTCTAGATTTGCTATAGCTTTCCTCCTCAGGAGCAAGCATCTTTTAATTTCTTGGCTGCAGTCCCCATTTGTGGTGATCTTGGAGCCCAGGAAAATAAAATCTGTCACTACCTCCATTTCTTCCCCATCTATTTGCCAGGAATTGATAGGGCCAGATGCCATGATCTTTGTTTTCTTAATGTTGAGTTTCAAACCAACTTTTGCACTCTCCTTCTTTACCCGCATCAAGAGGCTCTTTAGTTCCTCTTCGCTTTCTGCCATTAAAGTGGTATCATCTGCATATCTGAGGTTGTTGATATTTCTCCCGGCAATCTTAATTCCAACTTTTGATTCATTTAGCCCCGCCCTTCTCATGATGTGCTCTTAGCGTTTCCTATCTGATTTCTCCTATATCATCTCCCCTAATGCCAACTGTTTCTATGCCTCCTCTCTTTATTCCACATCTTTGTCAAAAAGATTCAAAATAATCATCTCCACGGAAGTGCAGAACCAACAATGCAAGACCAACAACAACTCGCATACATATTGCAAAAGGATGTATTTGCTTTAGAGCCAGGGTATTTGAAAATCTGGCTTGCTCTTGGCTCATAATTTAAGATCAGACGTGGAAGCCTTTCTGTATCTAATATATTTTCTATATTGCAAATGCTATGAAATAAAAACACAGAATAGAAAGTCCTCCCTTATGGCATTTTGATACCGGAATTCCTTTCTTTTAAGATAAAAACGGGCATGATTCTTCAAACTAGGGCCATAATTTACATTTACAACTGTTACCGAGCGAAATTATTTGTTTTGGAAGTTGGACAGATTTGAAGGCTGAATTTGTTTTGCCTAACAGAGGCTTAGCACAGTCATTTCCAACTCAATTTTGGCAGTATTATCTCAGCCTGAACAAAACTATGCCAGCAAATTTGAAGAATGAGAGAGTAACAACAGATTGAAAGGGATCAGTCTAAATATCAATAACAACAAAAGTGAGACTTAGAGTTCACAAACTACTGGACAATATCCCTAATTTCATATCCTAGCAAATAATGCTGAAGATCATCCAATTGCATATTAGAACAAGACATGAAAAGGGAGATACCAGCCATTTAAGTTGGTTTTAGGAAAAAAAATAGAGAATAAGAGATACTATTTCGGATGCATGCTGGATAACAGAGAAAGCTAAAGAGTGAAAAAGTCGATATGTGTTTCACTGATTACAGAAAAGCCTTTGATGGTGTCCGCCATGGCAACCTGTGGAATATTTTGAGGAAAATGGAAGTCCCAATACATTTCAGTATCCTTTGAGAAACTTACAGTCAGGACAGAAAGCCCCAGCCTGGATGCAATACAGTGAAACAAACTGCAGGTAATCCTTGACTTACAACAGTTCATTTAGTGACAGTTCGAAGTTACAGCGGCACTGAAAAAAGGGACTTATGACCATTTTTAACATTTATAATAATTGTAACATGCCTGCAGTCACATGACCAATATTCAGACACTTGGCAACTGACTCATATTTATGACAGTTGCAGTGTCCCAGGGTCATGTGGTCACCATTTGTGAACTTCTGACAAGCAAAGTCAATGGGGAAGCCAGATTCACTTAACAACTGTATTACTAACTTAACAACTGAAGTGATTCACTCAACAACTGTGGCAAGAAAGGTCACAAAATGGGGCAAAACTCACCTAACCAAGTTTCACTTGGGCTCAATTGGGGTTGTAAGTCGAGGACTACCTGTACTATCTTCTTATTTATTCAACCCACATTCTGAATATATATACTGAGAGAGGCTGGATTGGAAAAAATATGAGCATGGTTTTAACACTGGAGGAAGAAACATCAATCACCTACACTGTACTACTCTGACAGCTAAAATGCAAATGATCTGGAAGCCCTAGTAATGAAAGTTAAAAGTTCAATGGAAAAAACAGGGCTATGATCAAATGTAAAGAAGACAAAACTAACAACAGGTACAGCAATCGGCCTTAAAATTGACAATGATGATATTGAAGTGGTGGGTTTTTATTTATTTATTTTTTGCTTTTTAAGCGATGGGTCAAACACAACTTTGCGACTAATAACAACAAATCAACAATAAAAGAATCAGAAATCAAGATTTTTTCCCCCCTTGATAGGGTGGTAATGAAGGCTTCAGAAAAACTATTCAGATATCATGATGCATTATATCTACAAAATCAAAACAGTGTAGATAAAACAATTATGAATATGCTTTTGTGTTCTTCCCAGTTTTATGTACACTCTCTACTGAAAGGCCACATTTTTGGAAATACATAGCTACAATAGTCAAAACACAAGGTTGACACAGAATTATCGACTGAAAAGACTTGCTGGCCTCAGTTACTCTTGGATGCTAATTCTTAAGGCAACAATTGACATACCTTGGTCTCCACTCAACAATGGCAAACTTGTATCCTGAGAAGGGTGTAGAAGCACAGAGGGTGTTGTTTGTGAAGGTTCTGAAGAAGGTTCCTCAGGAGCCACTTTCAACGGACTCTTGGTGGGACTACAGACACCAGAGCTCTCTTCTGGGCACAGGAACACATCAACAGGGCCCTGAGTACTTTTCACAGCAATCTGGAAAGCCTAACAGAGATGGAAAAAAGAACATTTGAGGAGACATAGAAGACTGCATAAACATTTGTTGTGAGGGTGGTAGTGGTAAGCCTCTGTAGTTCTTTTCTATGAAGAATATTTTGGGAACATCAGTTTTATAAAATCTTCAAAATTTTATCTCTTTGTGACCAGATGACAAAAGAAAATTGAAAAATCTAACTCTTTTGGCTTATTTCACTGCCTGGGATAACTATTGCTCATAACAATAGACAGTTCCTAAATTCTGCAAGGAAATTTTTGAGAAGCCCAGTAAATCTCAGTATCTGAGTGAAAAACATTATATTTTGTAATGATCTCCGCTCATAGTTTTAATGCTTTGTAGAAAAATTGTATTAAATCAAAAATAATAAAATGAGAAAGGAAAAATTCCACTTGAAGCATTCTATTTTGTTATACCTTGGTTTAACATTGCTATTCAGGAGTTAACAAGACACTGCATCTACCTAGACATTAACTGCTTAGGTAACAAAGGGCTGCAAAAGCCTTTATTCTGTGCATCATTCTTGGCCCTAAATAGACAGTAACTTATTCTATTAGACTAACCCAAGATGTATAACCTCTATTTCACATGCCCCAAACTTTCCTCACTATGTCAACAAATCTCTCTCCTTAGCTCACCAGTTATATTTGATAGATCAGGCACAAAACATTGGTTCAGGTGGCTTATCCTACAAAAGGACATTTTCTTACAGGGCAGCACACTAAGTGGATAGGATTTCATTCTTATCCACCATTTAACTAATCTAGGATATAACACTTTGTGCCAGTTTATTATTGTAAAATATTACACAGTGTATGAAGTCCAATGACATACAGCTAAACTGTGTTCAAAGAGACTAAGCTCAATGTCAAACAGTCATTTGGTTGAGTTAGGCAGCTATAGAAATTGGATGGATGGATGGATGAATAGATCAGCAATCACATATACAGAATCTTGCATTTAAAAACCAAGCTTCCTTGGATCTATCATACTGGTGGCAAGATTTCTCAGTCATGATACTGTTTCAACACAGTCATGATACTGTGTGCAAGTCCGTACACTTAAACGGACTTGCATAAACCTTTCCTACCTAATGAGGAATGGAAAGGATAAACATAGTAAATTGGATTTGGATTCTGAAACTTAAGTGTGTAAGTATTCCATGACAGGCCCCAAATGGCCTCTGTAATTTTTGGAAGCAGGAAGGTTACCTCTGCAGGATCAGAGACTTGCATCTGTGTCTCAGGGGGGGCTTTGATGACCATCACCAGCTGCTCTGAGGGGTCTGCAATGTTGCGTAGATCTTGACAAGTCACATAAGCTGAAGTATGATCAGTCAAGTTTTGTCAGAAATATCACAATATATGTTTCAAGATACAAAACTAGAATAGCAATATACAACTGTCGGGCCCAAATCACTACTTATTGGGAAAGAGGCATACAAGAAGTCCTTGATTTATGAACGGTCATTTAACAACCATTCAGAGTTACAATAGCTTTAGACTAGCTACTTCCTTAATTTCAGGATGCAATTAATCTGGCCATGAAGATTTAATCTCATTCAAAATAACCATGTCTGTATGCCTGTTTCTATTTCTTTCTTTTTAATATTTCAATGCCAGTCTATTTCAAATTTTAATTATTTCCCTCTACAATTTCTGTGTAATAAATAATCTGTTCTGGACACACACTTTTAACTGGAAAACAGTTAACAGTTGTTAACTGTTACTCTCAGTTTTCTGACTTGCAATTTCTGAGATCTGTGAAATTCTCCACAAGTTTGTAGTGTGTCAGAAAATTGATTTCAATTATTCAAAATTATGAGCACACTCATTAGTTTAATCCTGTGGTAGTGAGGCGTTGAAGAGATTAATCTAACTAATTTCATTCAGTACACTTAAGACCTTACTACATATTTCTTACCTGTGATATGCAACTTGCACACCTATTTTATTGGAACGTTATTGCAAAGGGAAAAAATGGGGGTGGGGGAGAAGAAAGGATAGCTGCAGTTTTCTCTCACATGCATATGTTAAAGACTGTTCATTTACCAGAAAGGGTGGATTGCAGATATCATTATCAGGAACAGGTTCAGCTACAGAACTGCCAGGCAAAAATCAACAAGAAACATCTGACAGATGCACCACCACCCTTCTTTTGCTTCCTTTCTGAGATATATACACACATGTACACCTCCACACCTCACTGACAATTCAGAGCCTTAGCCAACAGCCAGGTAGGGATTTTCCATTAACTCACAGGGTGTGGAAGTACAAATTAAAGTACCAACACCCAATCTAGGAATGTCGGGAGTGCAGCTGCCTCTTTGGAATATGGTACTTTACTGCTACTGGTTACTGCAGAAGATTTGCTCCTATGAACCTATTTTGTGCTCTATGATTGGATAAAGCCATCCAATCCCCATTCATCTTGAAGAGAAGGATATTGCTTGTTTTCAGGTTCCTCCGTAAGGATCTTGAATTGAGTAGTACACATCTGGATGAGGCTGTCCAGATGCTGTTCTGCTGCTTGAAGATCCTGTAGTTCCTTCATTAACGCTTGACTCTTATTGGTGCCTGCCACAGAAGTCCGGTTCCCCCTAGAAAAAAGAATAAGGCAAGATGAAATACTCTGTGACTAATAACTTGGCAAGTCTTAGCATTAAGGTAGATGAGAAGTAAACTGCATTGTGTGAGCTTTCACATTGTCAGAATAACACAGCAAAAGACAGATGAATGCTCAATTAAGTAAATTAGTTAATTTTTAAAGGGAAAGTTCAACAAATTACCTAGAGAAAATATTCTTGCCACTTACTATTCTAATCCTATGCCTGCTATAGGATTCCATGTTGTCCCCTTTAATCTTTAATATCTATATAAAGCCATTGGGGAGAAATCATTCTGAGATTTAGCCACGGTATCATCAATAGGCATAAGAGCCTATGAAGGATATGTTCTAGGAGAGTAGGTGGCTAGATGGGAACCAATAAACTGTGACTGAATCCTAACAAGACTGAAATGTTGTTGAGAGGGAGTTCCAGCCTATGAATTAGGAAGACAGGTGATTCTAGATAATTCTGAGCTCCTTCAAAGCAGCAGATGGATTAAGGAATAACTCCAAGCGATGCATTTTGTAACTGAAGACCCACGTGTCACAGTAACTAAAAGTCTTTAATTTTTTTCTGGACCAAGTGATCGTTGTCTTAATAATCCCATGTTTGAACAAAGATTATACAGTTTTTATGGGGTTGCCTTTGAAAACCGTTCAGAGACTTTAGCAAGTGCAGAATTCAACTTCTTGGTTACCGTTAGGGTAACTGATTGTCATACGAAGTCATTAAGAGACAATATAGCTTATCTGTTTGCTTCCAAGCCTATATCAGTGTTGATTTATGAGAATGTTCCTCAAATATATCTGATTGACCTTTGTAGTGGATCTGCTTAGGACCTTTCGGTGAGAAATGCCTGGAAAGTAGTGACCCAAGCCACAATCTTCTTCCCATTGACCATGCCTAATAAATCCTGAGAGATTTTAAGGTATTTGAGGCTTGGCTTTTATATTCTTAGTTTCTGTCTGTAAAATGTTCTGGAACTGGTAGTGTATAATATCACCAGGAAACTTCAGGAATTTGCCTAAAGTCATTCCTTTCCCATCTTAATTATTCCATTCTCTTCTCATCGACATTTAGTGGTCACCAAGCATGCTCACTTCTCATTTATTTATTAGAATTATATTCTGTCTTTCTTTCAAGATCTCATTATGGTATGAATTACATTCCACTCCTACTACCAACTTTTTTTCGTAACAACAAAGCTGTAAGATATACTGGGATAAGAGGTAATGTCTGACCAAAATAATTCAGTGAGCTTCCATGGCTTATAAGAGTACTGTTTAGTTGTAATCCAATATTTTAACCATCACATCATATTGTCAGTGACCAGTTTTCTTGTACATCTGCAAACTTAAAAATGCCCTGAGTCTCTTATCTACAAGCCATAGTACCAATAGTATAAACTGTGGAATCAATAATATTGTCATTTTGCAACAATGTTGAATTACTGTCATAACAGGGTAGCCACCAACCCATAAAGCTTCAGTTTTCATATTTAACAGTATTTATTTCTATCTGATAATAAGCAGCAAAATAACTAAATTCTCAGAACATAACTTTACAATAAAGCAACAATTATATGTTCATGGAGAAACTGATAGGTTAAAATTATTTACACAATTGATTAAATTTTCATATACAATTATTATCTTATCTTTAACTAAATTGAGCACAGATTAATGAATTTTTATTCATGATATTCTCACTAGTCTAATGTTATTAATGTGATTTTCCTTGCAATAAATTTCTTCCCTGCAGTATTGCTTTAAAATAAAGACAAATGACAAATATTTTTTTAAATATACTTCCACAAATGCACAGAGTTATCTAAGAGGTTGTAACAGAGTAATCTTACAGACATATACCATTTGTAGTTTTGTTTTAAGATAATTCAGATTATCATGTTCTAGTTCTCTTGATTGAAAGCACATATAAATTGAAAGCACATATAGACATACAAAGAATCTTCATTGGCATCCTTCAGTCTCAAGAGGCTATGGTATCGTGCTCTGGAAAGAGGTCCTAAAACAGCATCTAGTGTGACTAAAAAGGTCAATACAAAGAATCTATAACTACTTATAAATAGTTAAATAAATGTACCAATAACATAAATGGAAACTGTGGCAACTTAATATGTAACTATTATACAAACGGTGCTCTACTTATGGGTTACAATATAACGGAGCCAAACAAACATCATCAGAACATCAAGCTGGGAGATTGGCAGGTGACATTCTACTTACAGCCATTGGATATGGTTCTTGGATTTCTTAGTGATGAGCTGGATGCCCTCCAGGACATTTGTTATGTCATAAATACGCCTCTTCTGCACCTTTAGTACTTCAGCAGCCCAGTTGAGATCCACAACACCATCAGGAGACTGACTCAATAGCTCTAAGAAGCGCTTGGTGGTCAAGTTGAGAGAAGTTTCATAACGGGATTTCTCTCCAGGAGACTTTAAACCTGGGGATAAATCAGGGCTTAATTCCAACTAGCAAAGTAGCTGCAATTCTTCTTAAATAAATCTCAAACTTAAACCATCAATTTGCTCAGCTTGCACTATTCATTTGATAAGAAAGAAAGCAATGTTGTTGGAGATAGGCATCTGGCTCAGAGTTTCTATCATTCTCAGAGTCTCATCTAGCCTGAAAACTGCAATGACTACTCTAGAAACAGAAAGAAAGGAAGAACCACCACTCACCTTTCCCACCACTGACCAAGTATGTTGCCAAGATAACATTGTGGGGATATGAAAAATGGATTGTACTACCAAAGGAACTGAATCTGGTTAGACATTTTGGATGGATTGTATATTGTAAACTGCCCAAAGTTTCCTTGAAGTGTGAGATGGGCAGCAAATAAATTGATTGAATGAATGAATGAATGAATGAATGAATGAATGAATGAATGAATGAATGGCAATTGTGGATAAGATAGCACCATTTGCCAAACCCAACTGTGAACTCAGATAAGACTTTCAACTTCGGCAATGAGTTAAAACAAATGCCTGTGTTTCAAGGAAATTAACCTTTTAAAAAACGAAATCTCTGGATTTTAGGGTGCTAAATTCTGAAACCCCCAAGCAACTTTGCACAATATTTATTTATTTATTTATTTATTTATTTATTTATTTATTTATTTATTTATTTATTTATTTATTTGTTCGGTTTATATGCCGCCCTTCTCTGGAGTCTCAGGGCGGCTTACAATGCGTTAAACAATAGCCTTCATACTTTTGTATATATTTATACAAAGTCAGCTTATTGCCCCCACAAACAGGATCCTCATTTTACCTACCTCGAAAGGATGGAAGGCTGAGTCAACTTTGAGCCTGGTGAGATTTGAACTTGCAGTAATTGCAGGCAGCTGGCAACTAAGTGCTACTTAACAGCACTTAGTCCACTGCGCCACCAGGCTCTTATAATGTCATTTACGTTAATATATGTCATTTCAGAAACAAAAGCCATTTCCCTCATGAATTCAAAAGCAAAGAGAGCCTGAAAAAGCATCAATATTCCAGTGGTCCCAGTACTAGCAGTCATTTCTGAGATTTTTTGGATCAATTTCAGTGTATTTCAATAATTGTAGAGAGTTCCCATCTATATACTAGTACCTTTTATAGGATTTTTTGCTTTTCCTCGAGACACCTGAACGTTCTCTGCAATGTATTGATGGTCAGTCTCCAAATTCAATTTCCGTTTTACCTGGAAAATAAGTGAGATTCGTAAATAACCACACCACTTAAGCTCTAGTGAAACAAAAAGCAATCATGCAAAACTAGGAGCATATCTACACATCTTACTTTTATTGAGTAAGGGCTGCCTTTATTGGATCAGCCTCCTGGAATACCGCCTATCAGCTGTTCCAGGCTGCAGGGATTGCCACTGCCCGTTGCCACCCATTGCTGCTGCCGCCTATTGCAGCCTCTGTGCACCCCATTTTTTGCTTCTGCGCACCCCATTTTTTGCCAGTTCCAGGTGGTGGGGATAGGCGGTGGCAGCGATTCCTGCCGCCTGGAACGGGCAAAAATGGAGTGTGCGGAGGCTGAAAATGGGGTGTGTGGAGGCAGCAATAGCAATGGCAGCGATGGGTGGCAATGGCGGCGACAGGCAGTGGTGATCCCCTCAGCCTGGAACAGCTGATAGGCTGAATTCCGGGAGACCGATCCAACCGCCAATCAGCTGCTTGTGCTAAATCAGGTTGTGCTGAAGCCGACCAGGCTGTTTGCTGTAAGGAGGTAAATTGCTGGAAGGCAAAGGCAGATTTTTTCCCCTTGTTTTCCTCCCCAAAAGCTAGGTGCATTTTATACTCTGGAGTGTCTTATAGACCGAAAAATACGGTATGTTAATTTCCTTAATTTTAAAACACATTAAGGGCAAAAATTAGCAGCAGCTTTGGTTTTCCAGTTTCCACCTACAGGCAGCTCATCTTGCTTCTGTTCAATCAGTTTCAGATTGAACCTGATGATAAAACTCTGACCAGAATCCCTCCTCTGTTGCACTAGTGGTTGGATTATAAACTTAGATGACTATCATAAAGATTGTCTATGAAGTTTAACTGATATTATCCAGTCACTTTAATACTCTCTCTACAAGAGAGTGGGGGCCATTCCGAGGGTGTATCTAGCACATTTGACACCCAGAGCAACTATTTCCACTCATCAAATAGTACCATGAGGTTCTGGAACTTCTGCTGATTCCATCTCTGTCATTGCTGCCACATCACTGACTGCCAAACACCTGACCAGCACAATGGCAGCAGTGACCAATTCTAGCTTCTGACCTTCTGGATAATCTATTTTACATCCTCTCATTGTCTCTATCTGGGGCAAACCATTCCCACCATTTCGTTTTAGTATGCCCTAGGATCATTCTCATCTAAGGAAAAGGATGTTCCATAGGAAGCAAGCTGCCACCAAGAACATCTACCATCAAACCACCTCCTATAGCATGCGCTAGTTGGGGAAGTACACATGGTAGACAGTCCCTAGCCATCCAGGTCAGATAAACAGAATTTATAGAGAAAAGCCAATGTCTTATTGTCTTAGGTAAGCAGGGTGGAAAGCATATGTGCTTTAAAGCAGGGATCCCCAATCCTGAGGCTGCGGGCCATTGAAAATTGGGCCACACAAGCAGCAGGCAAGCGGAGGAAACTCCATTTGCACAAGCGGGGGGCACGTGTGCTCATGCGCAAAATCTTCATTTGCACAAATAGAGCCTTTGCACACTTGCATGCCACTTGCACAGAACCATTCCCTCTCCCCCTCACTGCCACTGCCCCCCACCGGTCCAGAAAGATTGGGGACCACTGCTTTAAAGTCAGTAATTAACATTTCGAATTTTACTTGGAAACAGATTGGCAATGAGTGCTGCAGGACTGAACTGGAAGCAAGAGGGCCATTGCATGCTGGCCAACTGAAGTGTTTAGTGATCTTAAAATGCAGCCCTACTGTATGTAGATCAAATTAATTGCAGAGTAAATCTAATTTGCAAATGATATGGGCATCACTGTCCTTAGAATATTCAGTCTAAGTGAGGAGACCCATTAATATAGAATGGAGAAAAGTTCTTTAACTCTGGAAGAATTCCAGGATATTTTGCAAAAATGTAGTTCTTTTACAATTGTCCATTTCTATAAAAATGGGTTCAAAAGAGAAACAATTCAGAATCAGGCTGCTTTGGATATGGATTTAAAATTGACAGCATACAAGAATGACATTGACAAGGATGTTATATAAAAGATTAAAAATGAAAGTCGTGATATTTTAGTAGCAAAAGGCACACACAAATAACACATTGGCAGAGACTTCAATGTGTGAATTTCAATTCAGAAGAGTGACTTGGATACTTTTTATTTTGAACTTACAAAAGAGATGTGCTATACCTATGAAGGAGTTCCTGAGAAAAGATAAAGAGAGAATGAAAAGAAACCTTTTTCTGGGACACTACTTAAAAGGAATAAACATAAAGGCTTTTAAAAATAACAAGATTTAAAAAGTTGGCTCATTCAACTAAGGTTAAAATTATATTATTATTTTTTCTAGCAGCTTTTAGTGGGATAAGAACTGAATGAGGAAGCTTGAAAGATGTGATAAAAATAAGATAAAGATATGGGGGAAAAAATTCTTATATTGTTAGAGAAAGTTATCAGCTATGGTATTAAAATTGAAAGAAAATGTTTAAAGGGACACTTGCAAAGGAGTTTCTAGAAGGAGATGAAGAGAAGAAATTTAATTTGTGGGACAATATTTAATGGGATTACATTTCAGTATGTTGATGTTTCTGGTAGTTCTTAATGAAATCTTTTCTGATTAACTTTGAATGATGAAGCTTTAAAGATTTTATAGCTCCAAAACATGGGGAGAAGATATTTGTATTTCTAGTAAAAAGAGTAAGTTATTGTACAAAGTAAATGAAAGGAATATGAAAATTTACTTGTCTAAGGTTAATATATATTAAATTTGCCAATATATACGTTATATATAAATTTATATATAAGAGATTCTAGGTTGAAATGAGATGGATGTGATAGGTTACTGAAATTGTTTGTACTTACGTTGATGAAGTGAAACGTCTTATTTTATTTTATTTATTGTAATTTGTCAAACATAAACGAAAACAGGAATAATATAAAAATACAATGACAGGGACAATAGGCATCTTAGTGCACTTATGCACGCCCCCTCTACGGACCTCTTAAGTATGAAGTGAGGTCCACGGAAGTCAATTTGCGACTAAAACTATGAAAATTTGTAGCTGAGACAACTGAATCAGGTAGAGCATTCCAGTTTTTGACAACTCTATTACAAAAATCGTATTTTTTACAGTCAAGTTTAGAACGATTTACATTGAGTTTAAAGTGGTTGTTCGCATGTGTATTATTGTGATTAAAACAGAAAAAGTCATTTACAGGTAAAACATTACTACGTACAATTTTGTATGCAATACCTGAGTCTGACCACAAGCAACGCAGTTCCAATTTATCCAAACCAAGAATTTCAACCCTAGTAGCATAGGGAATTTTATTATGTACAGAAGCGTGCAAAACCTTTCTCGTAAAGTACTTTTGAACCCGCTCAATTGTACTAATATCAGATATATGGTAGGGATTCCAAAGAGTTGAACAGTACTCTAAGATTGGTCTAGCCTATTTTTTTAAGCTCTAGTTAGCAATACAATGTTTCCAGAAAAGCAACGCTGTTACAATGAAAAGTCTTTTATGTATTTTATATAAAAATATCTTTTTTCTCTCTGCACTTTTTTATGCATTTTTTTTATTTTGTATTAATTTTTTATCTTTGTACTTTTAAACTTCAATAGCAATTATTACTAAAGCTTAGGGTGCAACTGGCATACCAGCTGAAGCTGGACAAAGGCTCTCCTGGTTGGAGCTTCTATGTGTTACTTGACCAAGAGCCAGGATTCCAGGACGCTCCCAGATAGTGAACCTGCCCTTTCTGGGGAAGCACAACAAGAGATGAATATCCTTTGTAAGATACAGTTCCGGACTTGTTTCAATGCATCACATCAATTAATGGAAGTTTGCTGAATGAAAATAATAGCTTAGGATAAAATCACCTTATTCTTTCCTGTTAATTTTTCAGACATTTAATTTCCATAATTACCATATTGTTGCAAGATACTTTGTTTTCTTATGACAATTACAAGAAATTACTAGCTAACAAAATTAGAAATTAATGGCCTTTGGTAGGTATGTACCAAAATTGGGGGGGAAACCTTGATCCAGATAATAGAAGCAAATAGAGGCTAGGACAATTCAGGAAAGTAGCAAATTGTTGATAAACTGGTACATTGGAAATGAAATGGAGTTTGATGTCTTTAGACATAAATTATATGTCTACTTCCAAACTATCTCATTTTTTCTTGCTTATATAATTTCCCACAAAATTGAAATAGGCTTTCTTCTGAATCATTCAACTATGTAAATACATTATAAGCCAGTATCTGCAATAACCACAACACATGGCCAACAAAGCCATCACCAGCTGGAAATACTGTTTTTTAAAGACATCTTTGCTTCTATAGGAAAGCAAATCTCTTTCACACATACACACTGTATAGAACAGGTAGGTATATTTGACAAGCCCGGCCAGATAATAAGATTTTTAAAATACAGTGTGATCATCACAGTTAGTACAGGTAGTGTGTGATATGGAAATTTTGTATTTCTATTTCTGTTACATTTTGTTGTACTATGTGTTAATCTTGCTTCTGTAACTTTAAGAAGAAACTTCTCTTTTCATTTTTCTCTTGCTTTACTCATAACCACCCATGCTTTTAGAAAAGGACAACCTAATTCCTTTTTGTCCTTTTACCACTTAAGACACACCGAAATCAGGTCTCTCAGATGGAGCTCAGCTAAGGTTGACCTCCATTTGATCTAAGAATGCATTGTTTGAAATTCTTCCTATTCACAGTTCTCAAAGCTTGCCTATGAACTTAACAGTGAGTAAGCACTGGGAATATGCATTATTCTTTTTTACTGCTGACTTAGTCTCTTGACCAATGACACCCATCAAAATGTTCAATCTAGGAACACTGCTATTGTTTCTATACTTTCTTTTCTTTTGTTTGCATTGTCCTGCTCTCTTAAAGACATTATCTGGGCACAAGAAATGTATTTAAAGCTTATATCAAGATGAAGTGAGATGGTGAAGATAAATCAAAGAGAAAAGTACCTACTC